CAACAATTTGGAAATAGTTGTACAGTAAAATAGTTCAATAATTATTCTCTCATAGTGTTGTGGCCAAGCAGTTCCAGGGAAAATGCAGTCCAGATGAGATCCTGCCCCTTACGAGGGAAGCTTGAAGCAAATCAGTGCCTTGCTCAGAGACCCCCTCATCCAAACGCACTGTGACGAGGATAATGTGCTCCTAGCCCAAACATGGAGCGAGTGGGGCCCAGGGCACAGGGCAAACACAAGCTCCTAAGCTGCCTTAAAGTCAGTGTCTGGTGTAGCCCTGCGGAAGGACCTGGAGCACTCCATTCAAACACCAGGGCCATACACAAAATGACAAACCCAGTGGAAAGAAAATGAGGTGCTCTACACTTAGCATTGGGTCCCCAAACAGGAAAAATATCATTTTGGGGGTGGAGGTGATTTATGTGTGTACATGTGTGTATGCCCACTCATATATGTAAATGTTGTACATTCACAAGAGTGTATTTACTTCAGGTTAGGAATGAATCCATTCCAATACTTCCTCAACAAAGATCCAAAGCTGAGTTGCTCATAAGAAATCTTCAAAGAGCTCCTGAAAAGTAAAATGAGTCTACTCAATAAAGGGCTCTCATAGGACATTACTGAAAAGACATGCCGGCACCAAGCAAAGATAGGAAGTTACTTCTTTGCTGACTCTGATGCTTTCTAGTCTGAGTCTATTCATTTAAGCACTTTATTTGAAGCCAAGTACAGTATAGAAAATTCCAATATCCATTCAGTCAAACCTCAAATACCAGCTCTGAAAGCTTTATACCACCCTCTAGGCTCATTGGACTTGTACAGTGAACTAACTTATAACTTAAAAAAAATCAAGTATCATTTTTAGTATAAACAAATGCTTCCAGTGTACATCTATTTGCTGCCTTCAAAGGGAAAACTTTTAACTCACACGCTTGGAACTAAGATCACACAGGATCAGTTCAGTGGACTGACTTAAGCATTCAACTTTTTTAAAGCACATTTTTAAGGCCTTGCACCTGCTCCCCCATCCACATAGATGTACTGACACGTATTTGACTAAACTGACTACATACAAGCCCAAGCAAGCAAGGGGAGCAGATTTTACAAGATAAGCAACCAAGTGTTTTCATGTCTGAGGGTGGCTAGAACACAAAATTGCCAGTCATCTTGTGGGGGAAAAGAATGCCTTTGAAAAAAATAAGTAGGGCATCATTTTAGATACGGCGAAGTACAGTCAGATGCCATCCTGTATAGAGGTTTGCTTTTAGGTTTCCTTTAAATGCTGCTTCTTGGAGAAGGGCCACACTGGGTTCACTTCTGCAGTTATGATTAAGAGGACAGTCACCAAAGCATTGCTGCTTAAACTGGTCCTTTGGCTTCTCCTGGGAAATCGGAATGCAGGTTCTCAGGCCTCAGCTCAGACCCCCTGAAAGAGAATCTATAATATAACATGATTGTAGGGGGTCTGGATTCACATTAAACTTTCATACTCCTTAAGGCATTACTGGTGATTCGGATGTACGTTAACATCTAAGAAGTTTTATTTAGAACATTGGCCCCCCAAGTAAGGTAGAAAATCACTTTGAAGTTGGCAGGGCAGGGAAACAGAAAATTCTGCCCTGGAGAATACCATAAGGCTGTAATTTATGTCAGCAGGGTGGAAGACAGAGGAAAACCAATTTACCTGAGTGCAGCAGACTTGCCTATTCTCCCTGACTTTACCCTACCCGTCCCCTGAAGAAAAGTAAAACAGAAAAGGAACAAAGCCAGGATGCCCTAACTTCCACAAAGGCAGTACCCTGAGTCCCAGTTATTCTCGACTTTATTCTTTCCTGCAAGGCCAGCTTCCTTTAGCCTTATAATAGGTAAGGGAGCTGTAGCATATAAGCATTCAGTGAATCAGTATCTTAGCATTAACAGGACAGGAGAAAAATACACTATTGTAAAAGGCCTTGGATGCACTTCTGATGGCACAGACGGATTCTTTTTCCTCCCAGGAAAAAATGGAGGGGAAAAAATACAAACTTGGTAGGTTATCCTATGATTGGGTAGCTTGCTATACAGGCCAGTTTCACAGAGCTTTCTTGCGGGACAATTTAAAGAGCAACTGGAGTAGAAACATGAAAAGATGGAAGTGCAGAGATGTGTAAAACGCTCCTCCACCCGCTTCCCAGTGCTTGAAGGTAAAAGACAAACAGAGCAGCCCTGAGGTGCCACACAGGTTAAACCAAGCCAGGAAGGCACACATGGTGCAGACAAGCACAAAAACAGGTGACACAATTTAATTAATTTTGAAAGGTGATCCCTGAAATTTCAGAAAATACTACATGCTGGTTTTTTAAGCCAACTCTAAAGTGATTGGAAAGATCCTGCAGAATTATGACTGAAATTCCAGAAATTGTCATGATGTTAGTTATGACCCTGTTCCTCAAAATGAAGAATGAGAACTAAACTGTCTGGAAGGCTGCAGAACGTATGTAAGAATATCGCTTTTTACGTGAGCTGCCAGGGCAGTCAGAGTGTTCCATTATTATAAAACCTTTAAACTGAAACTGAAAATGCCATCATGTACACATATGTGATATGTATTATAAACATCTTCATGCATTTACACTCATATATTGTTTATATAGATATTAAATAGATCTATATTCCAAGAGATCACATTTGAGCTGATGCCATTAAAAGCAATTTTAACCATGAACATCAGAACCTACAAAGTGGAGAAATCCAAAGGGTGGACGCAACTGCCAAAGGGTGAAGTTCTTGCGCTACATTCTCACATTCTCATCTAGAGAACTTAGAGATGGAAAAACACAGATTAATTTGTTAAGATGCTAAGACTGCAATCTGTCCCTCATATGCCTGACAAGAGAATGAAGGGCCAGAGGACACAGCAAACCCTTCCTCTGTATTTGATTCTAATGATTCTACCGAGGCAAGAGCTGTAGAAATAGAGTAAAAGGAAGCTAAAAGATTTTCAAAGAATATCAGAGCTTTAATTTACAAATAAGACAAGCAGAACCTCAGCCCGCCCCCCCCCAAGGTACCTATGTTTGTTCCTTATCTGAAACTCCTGGTTAGAGTTTGATTATAAGTCTGTTACTTTACAAACACTAATTTTTAAAGCCAGTTCAGAGGCAGGAGTTAGGAGTGGGGGTTAGAACTAGGTTTCCGGCAGCATGGCAGGGTTAGAGGGGACGTAGTGCCCAAGAAATTGACCTAAAACGCTGCCGGTAAAATAGGAGTTGTGGGTTCCCTGGCCTTATAAACGGCCACAGAGCCCTTCCTGGCTTCTAACTCCAAGCTGGGGTACAGGAGCTCTACACTGCTAAGTGTTCATTCTGAGCAGCCTAATTTGACTTCATTCTGCTTGGGCTTCAGGCCAATTGGCAGATGTTCCTGTAGAAGCTGATCTCAGACACTTTCCCTTTCTAATTTTTTTGGCACCGTTGCCTCTGCTGCCTGGGATATCATCTCTGAAACTTTATCTTAGGTTCCCGGGTTTTGCTTGTTTTGTAGGCTTTGGTTTTTCCCTTAAATCTTCCTGTCCCAGAAAGGTTCTTATGAAAAATACTAAATCATTGGTAATTCCTTCAGTGTAAATATGACTTTTCAAATGACTTCCTTGCAATTTTCCAGCCATTCCTTACCTTTCCCCCCGCCACCCCCCATCTGGAATAAGTAACTGCAGAACAAAAACGCAAACACAAGGTCATCATTGTGAGCAAGCGCTCTACAAACGCACCACTCTCTCACACAGGATGGACTCTACAGAATGAAATGCCAGAGCTTTGATATTTATTATCTGAAATAGGTTTAACATTTGGAGAAATGTGTTCAAACATGTAACCTTGGAAAGAAAAGCAAGCTGATCAGTTGGAGAACAGGGTGCAGGCAGCAAACATGACGCGCACAATTTTGTTGTGTCTGGGGCAGAGTTAGAAAACTGGGCGCTTTGGAGCCATAAACAGCTCTCTGCTGTTTTCACCCCTTGCTGTTTTCAACAAATCCATTTTCAACTCTTGATGAGGGCTACAAGCTATCAGTTTTAAATATACATGACCACAATATCAATAATGAAAACATCTTATGTTTTATTTAATACTTTGGCCAGATCAGCCCCCTGGAAAGGGGTCCCTAGGTTAGGGAAGAAGAACAAAAAGCCATCATTTACTTTGCCACATGGTCATCGTTTCCCTAATTATTTCTATTGGTCCTGCTTTATTCTTTCTGCAAATGAAGGGGTGGAGGAAGGGATTCTGTATCACGTCAGTAATGTCTGATCCTTATCCAAATATTCCACCTAATAAGGATGAAAGTTCTCATGGACTGGACAACCACTCTGCAACATTCCTGAGAATTGAATAATATAATAATCTTGAAAGTCAGCAGAGTGGATTATCCGCTTTTTTTTTTTCTGGACTTGAACTTGTGAACTTAACAGTAGCGCTGCAAAAAAAAAGCAAATGTGCTGAGCACTTTGCCGGAGGAACCTTCCATGTAGACTTTTCATCTTAAATACACACAACTGAAAACAACTATGATTTTTTGGAAAATTATATACAAACCCGATACTTCTTTTGATTACATATAAATACAAATTAGCTATTTTTTTCTAAAAAGTGGTTATAATAGTAAATAAATACAAAATAAATCTGACCATTATACTTCATGTGCTGGGGTTGAACCCATATAAAATGTACAACTAAATACATTTTTAAATCTTTAAGGAATAATTCTCTGATTAAAATATTTGTTTTCCCAACTTCTTTTCGTAGATATAAATATATTTTCAAAATAGCTGTTTTTTTTTTTCCATTCCATTCCATAAATAAAGTCTTCATTGGGAAATATTAAAGTGTCAGCTGGTTTTGTTTTGGGAGGGAGGGGATTTGGG